ATTCTGCCTTTTCTGGTGGATCTGTGTGCCCAGGCTGGCCTTGAGTTTGGTATGTAGCCCACAATGGCCTCTTTCCTGTCTCTGTGTTCCAAGTGCTAGAATTGCAGGCATCTGACTTCACACTGAACTGTATTTTACTACTACTACTTTTAATTATATAATAATTAATGATGATTAAATAATAATAATAGTAGTAGAAATAATAATAATTTTGTGGTGTTGGGGATTTAACCCAGGCAGAGCCATGTGCATGGTAGGCTAGCACTATACCACTAATCAAACACATAACTCATTGTATTTTAGAAGGACTCTTTAGGTAACTCTCATGCGTACTGAACACTGGGAGCCATCCTTATCACAGCAGCTGGCCATCCTCCCCTTAGGATAATGCTTCATCAGATCAGCCTAAATCACTGATAGATCCACCTCACTTTTGCCCAGTGTCTACACTCCATGTACGGTAAAGGGTCACCATTCACCAGGAACACAGTCCGCTCTTGACTGGTGTCTAATGGTCCTCTCTGTCTCACTGGGTGTCACTCTCTCACCCACAGCCCTCATTGCAGCCAGGGATTGTGACTCCCTGATCTTAGAGCATCAGATTTAATCTGGGTACCTTTTCACATGCTAGTTGTCTTGCCTGTCAGTTTGTTTCTCCATTGTCACAGGATCCCTGTTAATTGTCAAGACAAATGAGAGCCTCACAGTCATGGAAGCCTGCCCTCTCCTCTCTTGAGATTCCATGCTTCTAAAGCAGCCTTGGTAAAACTGTACCCTAGGAGGGATTATCCTTAGTGATCCTCCATGAAGTGCACACCCTCTGACAGCTAAGAATGTGTTTCCGTGTTTTCAGCATCGAGTGCATGGCTGGAAGTCATTGAGCACTCAGCACATTTGGTGAAAGAATAAAAGGATGCGTGATGCCAATCATAAACCTTCCTCTGTCTCTGCAAAGGCACTGGATGGATATCAAGTAGCAGTATGGGCAAAAAAAAAATAGACGTTCTGATAGCACACTATAAATGCCATTTTATTTTATATATAAAATATGTTTTTTTCTTTTGCTTTGAGAAACTGGGGGTTAAGCTCAGGGGCTAAGTGGCTCAGGTAGACCTTGGATTTAAGACCTTAACCAGTCATCCTCTGGAGTATTTGAGATTACAGGTTTACATGGCCAAACCTTGGCTTAGAACACGTTTGGGATTTCCCTGCTCTTATGCGATACACTTTCTTCAGTCTATGCAGACAAACATCACTTCTTCAAAATTGTTATGAAGAAACAAAATAAGTGTATTTCAGACAGTTAATGACTATGCCTTCAGGATCATAGTACTACCTATTTGTTTGCCTGGAGAGGGTCACATAGATTGTGTTAAACTTGGTTCTAGAAGTAGTCATTAGGATGCAAATGCCTATTGAGTTATGCTGTGACAACTTTGTCTACAAGAATTTCAAGTTCAGCAAGGGTAAGGCTGTTTGTCATCTCTTCTGAAAAGAACATGAGAGAGCCTGTAGAATGTTATGTCCTAAGTGAACAGAATGGCTCTTAAGTGGCAGATGCCAACTGAAACAGAAGAAAGGCTGTGATGGACACAAATAGTAAGTGGAGCAAGCACATGTTTGGGTCAGTGTAGACGTGGCACCAAATGGCAGACCTCATTTGGGAGATACTTCAGGTGTCCGCTTTATATTTTTATCTTATTCTGAGCAATATTTTGTTTGTTTCTTATGAGACAGAGGATCACTATATAGCCTAGCCTGGCCTCCAACTTGTCATGTAGCCCAGGGTGGCCCTGAACTGGATATCCTTGTGTCTGTGCCTCCCAAGTGTGGCCTATCATGCCTGGCCTTGTGATCAATATTTTAACCAATGACTTTGACATAGACAAATACAGATGGTCATATTTGGGTATACCCAATGGAGGGTGGTATAGCAAAGATGACAGATAATTGAAATTTCAAATAAAATTTCCAAGGCCAAGCAAACTTACCAAATACAAAACAAATAACACGGGTGGTTGTTGTGAGTATAAAGTGAGATCTACTTGAAAATAACCGTGCAAACATTAGTTTTTGTTTTGTAAATGCTGAAGATGTAGCATTAAATTGTTTTAGTGGAAATGATATTTTGGCAAAGTGCAATGGAAATCATACTGTCAAGACTCAAGCTACTGATAACAGTTTTGTCGAAGGAACTGATTGTGTCTGGTTCATGCTTAATGCCTACTGCATTGGCCAGCCTCTCTCTGATCTTGAAAGAGATAAGTTTTAAAAATATTATCAATTTGAATTGGATCTCAGGAAAGTCACATGCTAAGAGATGGTAATATTTCAGGCTGATTATAGACATAAGAGACTAAGTTGGAAAGAGATCTGCAGACCATTATGTGAAGGTTAAGTAAAATACCTGGTTATGTATTGTTGGAGAGAGGAGATCTATTTATGAAAATTCCCAAGTCAGAAGACAGTGTATATTAGTAATTTCTCTGTGATGATAGGGTATAGGAGCAGAGTAAGCTAGTGGCTGCAGGAGGATCATGTTTTTTGGTGCCCCCTCCCCACCCCCAGTCAATTGTTTAGTAAGTGTGTGGACTCAGGAATCACAGACCTGCGAATTTGCCCTTTCCTGTCAACTGCCTTCCCTCTGGGCAAACCATTCATCACAAAATTCAGCTTCCCATTCAGTCACTAGTGAAAAAAATCCTAAGATCTAACCCTAAAGGGATGAAGAAAAGTAATGCCCGCCAAGAGCTTCTTCTCTGGAAGAAGTGCTAAAAAAATACTTAATTCCTCATCAGCCTGCCTGTATCGCAAAGATGACACCAGGGGGTGCTGGAGAACCTTCTGGAAGAATGCAGTATCACCTAATCCAGGCAAGGAACATAGATATGAGTTTCTAGGTTTTGTTTTTAGGTTAGGACTAGATGTGCCGAGTGATCAGAGGATGCTGTGTCGGTGCGGGAGGCAGTAAAGAAGAGATTTGTGCTAGTTTAGGATGGTGCAATTGTGAGGAGCAGTTTTCCTGGGATGAGCATTGAAGCCCCCAGAATCCTTTTCCAGAGTCTTCTTATCTCAGAAGATGAGTACCCAAAATGCCATGGGCCCCAGTTCCCAAGATTCCACGGGCCCCAGTTCCCAAGATGCCATGGCCCCCCAGCAGCAATCCGTGAAATTTGCTCAGTGTTTCTCTCTGGGAAGGAGGTCTCTGGAAGGAGCAAATTATTTATTACTCTCCATTAGATGTAGTCTTAAGAGAGGCCTGGCATGTGATGTTGTTATAGATGCTAGGAAATTATGTATTTAATGTTATCCAATAAGGATTAATTAATTCACATTTTAATCTATATTTTCCACAAAATACAAAAGAAGCAACCTCTGATTTTAAAATCTAATACACTGGGGTAATGGAAATGCTATAGGGGCCACCTTACTGGAATGTATTAAATCCTAAATCCTATTGTTGACAGACCATTCAAAGTAACTTTTACCTCTTCGGCTAACAAATTTGTGACAAACAAGGAACACTTCGTGCTTAGATATTAAGTCTTGCACATTAAATCTGTTACAGGATCATTGAATGGGCTCACTGGGTCAAACTCTTACTGTACAAACCTGAAGCTATGAATGCAATCCCTGCAAACCATGTAAGGGCGGAGGGAAGAACCAGTTCTACAGATTTGTCCCCTAGTCTTCAAGAGCATGCCGCGACACTGGAACCCCCAAGCTCACCCCCCCACACACAATTAATAAATATGTTAAATTGGTTACAAGTTAAACCTATTTATACACAAAAGGAAACCCTGTGTGCACCTCCAGTGGAGAAGGAAGCAAGCTATCAGTTAAGACAGGAGTATATTACATCACTTTCTCAGAAAAGGTTATAATTCTAGCAGCCAGTGTTTATTAAGATATAAATGTGATTCCTCTCAGTAAAGCTACTCATTTCACACAAAGGTCAGTGTCTCCATCATTAAGTCTATGTTTTCATGGCTGCATGGTTGGCAACCTGGCCTGGCCCACTGTTTGCCAAGCTGTCTCATTATCGTAGGGTTCGCGTGAGACTTGCCTGAGTTTCTTTAGGAGATTTTGATTCGACATGTCTGGTAAGGAGGATATTTTCTGACTGACAGTTTTTTTTCATGTAGCCCAAGCTGACCTCAAATTTCCAATCCCCCTGCTTCACCCTCCCTAGAGGTGGAACCCCAGACAAGTGCTGTACCACTCTCTGGAAGGAATGCAAATATTTACATTCACAGTCATAAGCCTACATAGTTTTCTATGAATCTGTCAATAAAATTTTGAATGACAAATAATATTATGAAATTTTAGGTTCGATAAGAAGAATGACTTTAATTAATAGAAAATATTTGACAAAGAGGTTCACAACAGGTTATACTGGAATATAACCAGAAAAGCCCAGTAAACAAGCATGGTCTATTTTATTTTATTTTTTTTTCCAGACAGGGTTTCTCTGTGTAACAGCCTCTTATAGACCAGGTTGGCCTCGAACTCACAGAAATCCGTCTACCTCTGCCTCCTGTGTGCTGGGATTAAAGGTGTGTGCCACCACCGCCTGGTGCATGATTTATTTTTAGAGAAAAATAAAGTAAGAATTAATAAGGGCCCATTCTCTGAAGAAGCATTTGGCTCAATGATTAGAAGTGATGTCTTAAAAATAATTCTAATTACTTCTATTTTATAAAATGCCATTTAATATTAGCATATTATCCAATTAGTCTATCAGAAAAATGACAAAAACATGGGCTGTTTTGCAATTAGCTGGCTTTTAAAGAGAGGATTCCTTGCATCCTGAGTTGGTCACGAGGGTTGGCACGATATTGACCTGGGAGAGATGCCAGCCTGAGTTCAGTTCCTGGTTAGCTGCATAGATAAATAAAAATAAAATTGGACCAAAACTGCTTAGGAAATCTTTCGAAGGCTCATCAGTCACCTTGAAATTTCAGCATGTCTTAGTCTGAGCCACGGAAAGTCTCACTTACTTTGAATCTCCACAGTCCCCCGATATCTTCAGTCCTTTCGAAGCAAGTGGGCTCCAGACCCTCATCCAGGCTGCACTTCAGGGAGATCAGGCCACTGACTCCTGCTCCAATCACAGCCACCTTCTTTGCCATCGTCTCCTGTCAATGAGTTGACCAGTCATTACTGCTTCAGGAGGACAAAGGTAAGAGAATCCGCCAGTGTGGTCAGGTCACACTATTGGTGGTAATTTAATAAGCAGCATTAATTGAATAAAACGCTTCACTAATCAAATCTTCAACCTCCTCCCCCCCTTCTGAGAAACTTGTCTGGTCAGATGACCTTCATTGTAAACTTGCTTACAATGTCTTGGCTTAATATTAAAAAGGAATCTGTTTAAACAAGCCAAGTCACTCAACAAAACAGTCCTGGGGCTGAGAACCTTCTCCAGAGTTCTGAGCACTTCCTTCTCAGCCTCTCTCCCTGTCATCCCTACCTTTATTTGGCCTTTTGAGCACAGTCCCTTTGGCAGAAGAGTTTCCTCTGTCGGTGGTGTGCCTAGAGGTGGGAGTTTTTAAGAGATGGCTGAGGCTGTGAGAAGTGGGAGGAGCTTTCCTCTTGGAGCCACACTCAGCCAGCTGAGTCTTCAAGGACTTTATTAGTATGGAAATGAAGCAAGAGGTCTGCTTGCTAAGGTGGAGAACACTGAACACACAGCATACAGACAGTCTAAAGTTTATTCTTCTAGCGAATGTAGAAACTGTGCATTGACAAATTGAAAAGAGAAAATAAATAAAAAGAAGTTAAAATCATTCCTACTATTACCATCCAGATGTATCTGAAACTGCCAGTACCATTTTGGCAAGTTATTCCACCTATATATTGTACGTGCGTATATGCCCATGCACAAACGTGTACACAGAGGTGGAGGCCAGAGGTTGGCATGAGGAGTTTTCTTCAACTATTTTTCATCTTATTCCTTGAGACAGGATCCCTCACTAGATATTCTGGCCAGTGAGCCCCAGGAATCCTCCCATTCCCAGTTATCTGGTGCTTGGTTCTAGATGCACGCTACTGAGACTGGATTTTTGTGCTGGTGTAGGGGATCTGAACTTAGGTTTTTTTGGTTGTTGTTGCTGTTGCTGCTGCTGTTATTTTGATTTTTTTCCTTCCTTCCTTCCTTCCTTCCTTCCTTCCTTCCTTCCTTCCTTCCTTTCCTATCTCTCTATCTATCTCTCTATCTCTCTATATCTCTTTATATCTCTATCTATCTATGTCTCTATCTATCTATCTCTCCGTCTCTCCATCCATCCATCCATCCATCCATCTCTCTATCTCTCTATCTCTCCATCCATCCATCCATCCATCCATCCATCCATCCATCCATCCATCCATCTATCTATCTATCTATCTATCTATCTATCTATCTATCTATCTATCTATCT